GGCGGGCAGACGGAGCAGGAGAAGCAGCGCGTGGATCTGATGGAAAACCAGCTCATGGATTTCAGGATGGGCTTCATCCAGCTCTGCTACAGCCCCGACTTCGTGAGTACCCCCGGGGGGGCGCGGGGGGATGAACCCCCCCAAACGCTGGGACTGTCCCCCCACGTGGGACAAGGGACTGAGCCACTACCGGCGTGGGGGGGTCTGTTGAGGTGCCCCCTTTGCCTCCATTCCCTCCTTCTCATCCCCCCACTCCCTCATTCCCATTCCCAACTCCCCCATTCTCATCCCCCATCCTCCCATTCCCCCCCATCTCCCATTCCCCAGTTCCCCTGTTCTCATACCCCTTCCCTTTCCCATTCCCAATTCCCCCATTCCCACTCCCAATTCCCACATTCTTATCCCCCATTCCCATATTCCCTCCCATTTGCCCATTCCCATTCTCAGTTTCCCTGTTCTCATCCCCAATTCCCATCCCCGTTCCCCCATTCCCATCCCCCTTTCCCCCATTCCCACTCCCCCCTCTCTGCCCGAGGATGTTGCCCGTGTTCTGGGGGATCTGGGGGTGTTCTGGGGGGTCTGGGGGTGTTCTGGGGGGTCTGGGGTGTGTTGCAGCCCCCCCAAGCCTCCCCCCCTGCAGGAGAAGCTGAAGCCGGGGTACCTGGAGCAGCTTCCCAAGAAGCTCCAGGAGTTCTCGCGCTTCCTGGGCTCCCGGCCCTGGTTCGCGGGGGACAAGGTGAGTTGAGGGGGCTCTAGGGGGGTGTTTTGGGGGTCCCTGTGGGGTCTGACCCCCTCTGCCCCCCCCAGCTGACCTTCGTGGACTTCCTGGCCTACGATGTGCTGGACCAGCACCGCATGTTTGTGCCCGACAGCCCCGAATTCCAGGGAAACCTGGGCCGCTTCCTGCAGCGCTTCGAGGTGAGGGGGGACAGGGGACAGCCTGGGGACAGCCCGGGGCACCCCAGTGTCCCCAGTGCCCCCATCCCAGACACCCCAGTGTCTCCAGTGCCCCCATCCCAGGCACCCCAGTGTCCCCACCACTGACCCTCTGGTGTCCCCAACCCCCAGTGTCCCCATCCCTGACCCTGTGGTGACCCTGTCCCTATTCCTGACACCCCTGTGTCCCCATCTCATCCTCTACACTCTGGTGTCCCTGTCCCCATCTGTCCCTATCCCCATTCCTGACCCCCCCGGTGTCCCCACCACTGACACCCCAGTGGTCCCACTCCTGTCCCCACCTGTCCCTGTGCTCTTTGTCCCCATCCCTGTCCCCTTTGTCCCCACCATGTCCC